AGGCGTACAAGCCCCAGGAGGTATCGGCCATTTTGTGGGCCGTGGCGCGCGAGGTGAGCTGCAGCCCCTCGTGCCGGAGATTCTTCCTGGCAGTGCCCCGCCACTTCGAGGGTCGCCTGCAGGAGTTCACCTCGCAGGGTCTCGCGTGCATGGTGGAGGCCTACACGCTGGCAGAGGCGGATGGCCTCAGCTTTTTCGACGACATCCTGAGGGAGAGCATGAATCAGCTGGGCAACTTCCAGCCGCCATCACTCTGCACCCTCTTTCGCGGGGTCGCCATCAAGGCCAGGCGCGAGGTCGTCGGAGAGGACTCCGCGCGCACACCAGACCACGTCGCGACCATATCGGACCACATCGCCGCCAGGCTACCCGAAATGCAACGGCACAACATCGTGCACTTGGCCCAGAGCTTGGACCTTCTCCCCGAGCACGTGCAGGCGACAAGCGCTGCAAAGCTGCGAGAGAGCAGCACCATTCTGGCCGTCCAGCACTCTCCGGGTGACTTCGTCGAGCCCGTGGGCCTGACGTTGGTTCCCGACCCGCAGGACAGCCAAGGTCCAGACGGCATAGACGCCTTTTCGCCCAGCCAGGGCCGCCATCCCAGCGCTCAGATCTTGCAGCCAGACTCGCCATCGCTGCAGCCGCAGCCGCCCCTGTGCACGGAGTTGCCGAGGTCGGTGCTCCTGAACAGCCCGACCAGGGACGCCCTCGACGTCTCCTCCGCGCCGGCCGCACATTGGGGCCGCCGCGAGGCCGACGAGAAGCCGGCCGCCAGGGGCTCTCGCGGCTGTCTCGCGCCCAACAAGCACGGGATCATCGGGCCAGCGAAGGCGCTGCACACGAACCAGGACAGGGCGGCGACCATTTGGGACCTCGATAGCTTTTGGGCCTTCGAAAGTCCACCCGACGAGTTCGCCGTCCCCTAAGATGAGCGCGCAGACCAATAGATCGTCGTGTCAATGCACGAACAATATCATCATGCGCCAGCTCGCTCTGAGTCGATATTTGCCGGGCTATCGGGTTATCATGAATCGAATTGAGTTTGAATGAGTGAATCCATTGTGAAAGTCCACTAGCGCTGCTCCTGGGGGAAGGGAAAATCAGCGACTCAGCCGTTAGATCGAGGATGGATGAAGATCCTGGTGCCACTCTTTTCGCTTGCATAGGAGCGCTGAGTTGCAAGAATGACCGTCTAGCTCGATGGTGGACGCTGCCAGTTAGCGTGTTCTCCCACGCACGCTTCCATCCTTTGTATGCACTACGTGGGAGACCAGGAAGTAGTGCACATTGCGACACGGAGCAGCCATCATCAAATCAGAGGAAGGGGGCCGAACGGTGATTCATTGTGCCTGGGTGCGTGGCTGAAATGGGAGTCCGTGGCCAGGATGTGTTTGTTGTTTTCTCCCAGTGGCACGAGCTGGGCTAACGCACCCGGGAGGGGGGATAGGGGGGAAAATAACACATCAACACAACACAACACAACGCAGTCGTATGATGTTCCAGACCGTTCCCACACCGTTCTTTGTAAGCCTCTGCTCACTCCTGTGTAATTCCTTCCTTCGCGTGTGCCGTATGCGACCCCATACCATTCCAAGACCGTTCTGTCAGGTCATAGTATACAATCACCACTAGGTCCCATACCATGTCCTGTACGATCCCTAGTCGGTCCTATACCATTCCTACACCATCGCTAGTAGGTCGCATACCCTTTCTGTACCATCCTTTGTAGGTCCCATACACCATGTCGATACCTTCCCTTACATGTCCCATGTCAACTGTACACAGCCCTTTCCAGGCCCTGTGTATGTGGAGCCGTCTTCGTGTCCCTGAAATTTGCAATGCCACCCCCAGTAGGCCCCATACTTGTCCTATTGCACCCGTTTGATCAGGACTCATACCATCTCTGGATCACCCTATGCACTAAGTCCGTACTATTGTCAATACCAACCATAACATATCCAACTCCATGTCTGTATCCGCCCTACGAGGTCCCATGCCATTCCCATTGTATCCCTATTTGGTCTTTCCTATCATTTCTATACGCCGTATGAGGCCCCAGACATCCTTCTATACCATCCCTACCAGGTCTCAAACAAGTTCTATACCTTCCCTATCAGGCCCCTTATCATGCCCATGCAACCCCTTGCGGGTCCCATACTTTTCCTATACCATGTTTACATGGCCCCGTACCATCTTGAAGCCATGCCTACTAGGTCCCGCACAATTCCTTACAATCCCTTGCGGGTCCTATACCAGTTTTATATAATTCCTACTATGCCTCAAACTGCTGCTTCCCACTTACATCAGGTCTCACCCCATGTCTATACCGTCCCTACAGGGGGCAGACAACCTTTATACGAGAATTTAGATAGGATCATATACAGCCCGTGTCGGGATTGCACAGGATCCCATACAGCCCGTGCCAGATCTGAATAGAGTCCTGTTCAGTCCGTGTCGGATCTGTACTGGATCCTATGCGGTCCGTGTCGGATTTGTCCAGGATCCTATACAGTCCGTGTCGGACCTGTATATGATCCCATACCTTCCGTGTCCGATCTGTGTAGGATCCTCGACCGTCCGTGTCGGATTTGCACATGATCTTATACGGTCCGCATCGCATCTGAATAGAATACTATACAGTCCGTGTCGGATGTGTACGAGATTATATACAGTCCGTGTCGGAGTTGTTTTTGGATCCTCGGCAATCCGTATCGGATCCAGACAGCCCGTGTCGGATTTGTGTCGGACCCCACAAACTCCAGATCCGACCTGTATAGGATTCCTTAAGGCTTGCACCGGATCCGTAGAGCTTCCTTCACATTCCGTATCGGATATGTATCGGCTGTCCGTGTCGGATCTGTCCGAGATCCCATACAGTCCGTGTCGGATTTGCACAGGCTCTTACACAATCCACTTCGGATTTGTATGGGATCCTGGACAGTCCGCATCGGATTTGCACGGGATCCCATATGTTTGTATCGGTCATGTCGGGGATCCCATACAATCCGCGTCAAATCTGTAAAGAGACCTATACAGTCCGTATCGGATCTGTTCAGGATCCCACACAGTGGAGGCCCATGCCAAGAAACACCCTGCTTGTCTCCAGGGTGCCTGGGTGTTTTGGGTTTCGATGGTTTTGCAATGGAAGGCGTGACCTTCCCATACCAAAAACCTATTGACGTCCTGGGGCCTCAGGGTTGGGTTTCTTGTGGAAGGTAGGTTGTGGACGGGCTTCCATTGTACAGTCGATGAAGATCTGTCCAAGGTCCGATACAGTCCAGGTCGAGTTTGTATAGGGTCCTACACACTCAGCGTCGAATCTGTACGAATTCCTAGGCAGTCCGCGTCGGATCTGCGTTGGAGTTCAGACAGTCCGCGTCGGATTTGGTATACGATCTTGTAGAGTCCGTGTCGGATTTGTTGAGGACCGTCGAAAGTCCGTGCCAAATCTGTACGACATCCCATACAGTCCGTGTTGGATGCCTAAGACAGTCCGTGTCGGATGTGTGAAGGACCCTGTACATATCTGTAGAGTTTCTAGCAGAAGCTCGCTTCGCCCGTACGGACGCGCGTCAACGTTTGCAAATTCCCATGGATATCGCTGACAGTTCCCTGAGTGTTCTGCAGCACTTCCATGGCATCCAGTGAGGTTCATCGGGATCCCATATGTTGTTGCTTCCGTTTTCAAGCGTTCTTATTGTTGCCGCTGATCCCCTCCCATTCCCCCCCTCAAACGGACCGGATGCGCGATGCCCTCCTTCAGTATAAGGGGAGGGGGGCCCAACACCCGGGTGCGCTAAGCCAGCTTATGATGTGTTGTTGTTATCTTTGTTGTTGTTGTTGTTGGTGGTGGTGGTGTTGTTGTTGTTGTTATTGTTGTTGTTGGTGTTGTTGTTGTTGTTTGCCGTTGGTGTTGTTGTTGTTGGTGGTGGTGTAGGTGGTGGTTGTGGTTGTGTTGTTAGGGTTGATGTTGTTGTTGCTGAGGTTGGCGTTATTGTTGGTGGTGTTGCTGTTGGTGTTGATGTTGTTGTTCGCTGAGTGTTGGTTGTTGTTGCTTGTTGTTTGTTGCTTGTTGGTGTGTTATGTTGTCGTCATCCTCACCCGCGCCCCGCCCGCGACCCACCCGCGACACACCCCGCGACCCAACCCGCGCCCGCCATCTCACTCTTGTCCGAAATTGTGGGGTGCTGCACACCTTATTGCAAAGGCCTTACGGCCGGTGCCGCCGACCCTGAAGGGAGACGACGGCGACTACGGTGGCGGCGGCGACGACGATGACGACGCTGACGTGGGCCAGAGTCCTCACGGATGCTTCTTGGGATCTCTTCGGAAGGCTCCCGGGGGCCTTTGGGGAGGAATTCTGATGCATCTTTGGAGCCTTTTGCGGGCCTCTTGGGAGCCTTTTGGGGGCGTCTTCGGACTTCTTGGGAACCTCTTGTGGGCCTCTTGGGAACCTCTTGGAGCCTCTCGGGCCGAGGGCTCGAAATGTCCGTTCGGGTCTCCTGTCTGGGCACGCTCTTGGAGCTGTCTTGGGGGCCTCTTGGGCCGTCTTGGAAGCGTTTCGGGCTGTCTTCGGGTCCTTTAGGGCTGTTTGGGGGCCCTCTTGGAAGCCTCTTGGGCCGTCTTGGGGCGATCTTGGGGGCCTCTTGCGCCGTCTTGGAGCGGCGGGTTGCTGCATACCTCATTTGACCCTGCTCGCAGAGACTATCGCCGGCACGAGCGCCCATGGTGGTGGTACGCTGTGGTTCGACGGGGCCAACCTGTCGACTGCTCTCGCGCCTCTGGCGGCCGTTTGTGAAGGTCGCGATGCCGTGCTGTCACGGACCAACTTCTGCATTGGCGCGGCATTGCGAGCGACATTGGGTTCATGCCTGGCGGTTGGTTTAAATGTGCACGCTTTCTCGTTGCCCGTGCGCCAGCTCGCTGTGAGCCGCGCTTGGCTTCATGTTACGAAGCGAATTGACTTGAATGTGAATGAATCGTTCGTGAATTTCCGGTAATTCTGCTCGTGGGGGAAGGGAGGATCAGTGGTTCAGTTGGTAGATGGATGAGGAATGAAGATCTTGCTGCCACCAGATTCGCTCGCAGATGAGCGCTGAGTGACAATATACGTCAAGTCCGGCGCTTAACCTCCACAGCTAGCGCACATGTGCTCTGATTCAGGCTTCCATCCCCTCTGTGCACTACGAGGGCGGCTAGGAAGTAGCATACGTTGCAAAACGGAGCCGCCTTCATCAATTACATAGCTGTACCCTCCCTGCAGAGACTATCGTCGACACGAGCGACCATGTTGGTGGTACACTGCTGTGGCTCGACGGGGCCAACCTGTCGACTGCTCTCGCGCCTCTGGCGGCCGTTTGTGAAGGTCGCGATGCCGTGCTGTCACGGACCAACTTCTGCATTGGCGCGGCATTGCAGGCATTATTGGGCACATGCCTTACCAGTTGCTCCAGCTTGCAAGCTTTCTCGCTGCGTTCCATTATTGCATCGTTTCTGCTGCTGTTCCTCCCCACCCTTCGGCGGCGAGCGAGAGATTGAAGTGAGAAGGAGAAGGCCTTCTGAGAAGGCGGCGGGACTTCTCAGAAGCCCCCGCGCCTTCTCAGAAGTTGTTCGTGTCTTCGGGAGAGGTTTAGAATACAAGGAAGAAGAGGCGGGGGAGGAGAGCATGAGCTGACAACTAGCACCCATACTTATACGGCCTCCACATTTATGATAAAGGACTTCTGGAAAGGTTATGGGCGCGTGTTGTCGGATGGGCGGATCCCCCCTCGAGCGGGGGGCCCCTCTCCGTGTCCGACAACACGCACCCATACCTATAGCGCACCCTCAAATCGCGCGGCGCGGGTCAGCGCCCCCTATAAGAGTGTGTGTGTGTGTGGGTGTTCGTGTGTTTGTGTGTGTGTTTGTGTGTTTGTGTGTTGTGCGCTTATATTCATTTGCGTACGTTTGTGTACGTTCGTGCGCTTGTGTGCGTTTATGAGCGTTTGTGTGTGTTGTGTGTGCGTTTGTATGTGTTTGTGTGTTTGTGTGTATGTCTGTGCTTGTACGTGCGTGTGTGTGTGTGTGTTTGTGTACGTTTGTGTGTATTGATGTGTGTATGTTTGTGTGTAAATGTGTGCTCATTTGCTTGTGTCCTTGTGTGTTGTGTGTTTGTGTGTTTGTTTGGTTGTGTGTTTCTGATTGTGTGTGTTCGTGTGATTGTGTGTTTGTCTGTGTTTATGTGCTTGTGTGTGTGTTTGTGTCTGTGCTTGTGTTTGTGAGTTTGTGTTTGTGCGTTTATGTGCGATTGTGTGTTTGTGTGCGTGTGTGTTTGTGTGGTTCTTTGTTTGTCTGTCTGTGTGTGTTTGCGTGTTTGTGTGGTTGTGTGGTTGTGTGTTGGTGCGGTTGTGTGTTTGTGTATGTGTGTGTTTGTGCGTGTCTTTGTGTTAGTGTGTTTGTTTGTGTTTGTGTGTGTGCTTGTGCGTTTATGCGTGTGTGTGTGTGTGTGTTTGTGTGCGTGTGTGTTTTGTGTTTGTGCGATTGTGTGTGACTGTGCGTTTGTGTGATTGTGTGTGTTCTGTGTTTCTGTTTCTGTGCGTTCTGTGTGATTGTGTTGTTTGTGTGTGCTTGTTTCTGTGGTCCTGTGTTTATATGATTTTGTGTGTTGGTGGTTGTGTGTATGTGTGTGTTGTGTGTTTGTGTGTGTTCTTGTGTTTGCGTGTTTGTGTGTTTGTGTGTGTGGCTGTGGTGCTGTGGCGTTGTGTGTTTGTGTGTTCGTGTGTGTTTATATGTGTTTCTTTGTGTGTATGTGGTTGTGTGTGTGTTTGTCTCTGTTTGTGTGTTTGGTTGTGTGTGATTGTGTAGATGTGTGCGTGTTTGTGTGTGTGTGTTTGGGTGTGTGTTTGTGTGTGTTTGCGTGTTTGTGTGTGGTTTTATGTTTGTATGTGGTTGTGTGTGTGGTTGCGTGTGTGGTTGTATGAGCGTTCGTGTGTGTGGTTGTGTGTGTTTGGGTGCGGTTGTGTGTTTGTGTGTGTTTGTGGGTGGGTGTGTGTGTGTGTGTTCGTGTGTGTGTTGTGTGTGTGCGTGTGTGTTTGTGTGTTTGTGTGCGTTTGCGTGTGAGTTTGTGTGTGCGTGTGTGCGTGTGTGTGTGTGTGCGTGTGTGCGCATGTGTGTGCGTGCGTGAGTGTTTGTGTGTGGGTGTGTGGTGTGTGCGTGTGTGGGTGTGTGGGTGTGTTGGTGTGGGTGTGGTGGTGGGTCTGTGTGCGTCTGTGTGTATGTCTGTGTGTGTGTCTTTGTGCGCGTGTGAGCGCGTGTGTGCGCGTACGTGCGTGTGTGTGCGCGTGTGTGCGCGTGTGTGCGCGTGTGTGTGTGTGTGCGCGTCTGTGCGCGTGTGAACGTGTGTGCGCGTGTGCGCGGGTGTGCGCGCGTGCGCGTGTGTGCGCGTGTGCGCGTGCGCGCGTGTGCGCTGGTGCGCGTGTGCGCGCGTGCGCGTGTGAGCGTGTGCGCGTGTGCGCGTGTGCGCGTGTGCGCGTGTGCGCGTGTGCGCGCGTGCGTGCGTGCGTGTGTTTGCGTGTGCGTGTGTGCGTGTGTGCGCATGTGCGTGTGTGCATGTGTGCGCGCGTGCTTCTGTGCATGTGTGCGTGTGTGCGTGTGTGCGTTGGTGCGTGTTTGCGTGTGTGCTTGTATGTGTTGTGTCTGTGTGCGCGTGTGCGTGTGCGTGCGTGTGCGCGTGTGCGTGTGCGTGTGCGTGTGCGTGTGCGTGTGCGCGTGCGCGTGTGCGTGTGCGCGTGTGCGTGTGCGTGTGCGTGTGCGTGTGCGCGTCTGTGCGTGTGTGCGTGTGTGCGTGTGTGCGTGTGTGCGTGTGTACGTGTGTGCGTGTGTGCGTGTGTTCGTGTGGGCGCGTGCGCGTGCGCGCGCGTGCGCGTGCGCGTGTGGGTGTGTGTGTGTGGTTGGGTGGGTTGGTGGGTTGGTGGGTGGGTGTGTGCGTGTGCGTGTGCGTGTGTGCGTGCGTGCGTGCGTGTGTGCGTGTGTATGTGTGCGTCTGTGTGTATGTTGTGTGTGTTGTGTGTTGTGTGTTGTGTGTGAGTGTGTGTGTTGCGTGTTGTGTGTTGTGTGTTGTGTATGATGTGTGTGGTGCGTGTGTTCTGCGTGTTGTGTGCGTTGTGTGTTGTGTGTGTTGTGTATGTTTTGTGTGTTGTGTGTGTGCTGCGTGCACGTTGTGTGTGTTGTGTGTTCTGTATTGTGTGTGTGTTTTGTGTGTGTTGTGTGTTGCGCTTGATTTGCGTGTGGTGTGTGTGGTGTGTGTTGTGTGTTGTGCATGTGTTGGTGTGTGTTGTGTGTTGTGTGTTGTGTGTTGTGTGTTGTGTTGTGTGTTGTTTATTGCGTGTGTTGGGTGTGTTGATGCGTGTGCGTGTGTGCGTCTTCGTGTGTGTGCGTGTGTGTTTGTGTGTGTTGCGTGTTGTGTGTTGTGTGATGTACGTTGTGTGTGTTCTGCGTTGTGTGTTGTGTCTTGTGTTTTGTGTCTTGTGGGTTGTGGGTTGTGGGTTGTGTGCTGTGTGTTGTGTGTTGTGTGGTGTGTGGTGTGTGGTGCGTGGTGTGTGGTGTGTGGTGTGTGGTGTGTGGTGTGTGGTGTGTGTGTGTGTTTGTGTGTGTGTTTGTGCGTTTGTGTGTTTGTGTGTTCGTGCGCAGCCACCCTAGCCATTTTGGCTCAAGGCCAACTGTCGCGGCCCCGGTGGCCGCCGCAGGCGCTGCGTGATGGGGTTTCTTCCATGACCCAGAATGGTGTGCACTCGCCGGCTGGTCGCGGCCAGGCGCCGCCTTCCGGTTGGCGGCCGAGTCTTCGGCTCCGAGGCGGAGGAGAAGGGCGGGCGGTGCCAGCGTGCTCTGGCGCTGCTCAGACAGAGGTATGTGGCGAGGCTGACCCTTACTTGCGAGGAAGGCGGACAGTGGGAGCAGGGTGGGACGGCAGTGGCAGCACGGCGGGAGGAGTGGGGAGGGACGGCAGTGGCGGCACGGAGGCTGGATGGGATGGCAGCGGGGGCGGAGTGGAAGTGGAGTGCGGGGGGAGGGACAGTAGTGGCGGCGCCGATGGGGGGGGATGGCGTTGAGGGAAGGGGCGGCAGAGAAGGGCGAGCATTGACTGCGAGCCCTGGCATTCTGAGATGCGACCGTTAGTCGCCCTGAACCCACGAGTGACCCCGCACCGACGGACCCTCGACATTCTGACGCTTCGACGCTCGCTGCACCAACGAACGGCCCAACCGCCGAAAGGCAGGGCGCGACGCCTGCACCCCGGGGAAACGTACCCAGCGTAGTCGGCACCTGCACCCCGGCGATACCTGCACCCCGGCGACACCTGCACCCCGAAAGGCGCGTCGCCAACAGCAGCGGCCCCGCCCTTCCAATATTGCCCTTGGCTGCCTACAGATCTTGGACAGAGCATCGGGCGTCAAGTATTCACGATCCGCTGCCTTTCGTGCTGTCGCCGACGCGGCCCTCCTCCTGGACGGGGCCCCCGACAGCTCCCATGAGCACGTGGCGGATGCGGAGAAGAGGTGATGGGCATTGCGACGGGGGGTCGTGCTGCAGCAGCGACTCGAGGTAGTTCACGACCTCCCGCACCACCGCTCGTTGACAGCTGCAGTGGGTGAAGCCATGGATTGCGGGTTCGCCTCGACCGGTGACTGGCAGGTCGCTCGCCAGGCTAACGACGCCCGTCACCGACGATGGCGGCCCGGCGCCTGCGTGGCGGATGTGGGGCCGCGCCATGACGCCGCGGATCGGATCGCCATGTGGTGGCGCCGCTGGGGCTTTGTCGCCTCCAAGCCCGCGTGCAGCATCGCCTGCTTGCAGCGCCTGGGTATGGCGCGCTAGGAGACGGGGACCTGGCTGGAACCGCCGCCGTCGCCGCCCTCCGTGCGCAGCGGCTTGCTCGCGACTTTCTGGGGCGCTGTCGTTTGCAGAGTGGCCGTGCCACGACGTGCCAGCATTCTGCCGAGGCACCACGAAGCGAGGCTGCCCG